TAGTCACATAATTTGTTTTTATGCCCAAATGCAGGATAATCATGTTTCTTTACTGTGTCCCAAATAGAGGGAGAGAAAGCATCTCAAATGGCTCTGACAGACGATGCCACTAGTTATTTTACCAAAAATGCTCTCATAACCAGCCTCCTTGAAATACATCCCAATACACTTTAAAACACTGCAAAAATGTTGCAGCCTGTTGGCTGCAGGACTGACTGACGTGTTCTTATCCCACAGGTGACTTCTTAAAAACTCTGCAAGATCCAGACTTGAACGTTCGCCGTGTGGCCTTAGCCCTGTTTAATTCTGCTGCTCACAACAAGCCTTCTTTAATCCGGGATTTACTGAGCACAGTCCTCCCCAGCCTGTACAATGAAACCAAAGTGCGAAGGGAGCTCATCCGAGAGGTAACTGGGCTCAGCAGGGGCCACACCCTGACTCACAGTGGAGCTGCTCTGTCTGCTCTTTGCTGACAGCTGGACTGTGTGTCTTGGTTCAGGTGGAGATGGGGCCATTCAAGCACACAGTGGACGATGGCCTGGATGTGAGGAAAGCTGCTTTTGAGTGCATGTACACCCTGCTGGAAAGCTGCCTGGACCGGCTGGACATCTATGACTACCTGAACCACGTGGAGGATGGGCTGAAAGATCACTATGACATTCGGGTAGGTGCTGTGCCCTGACTGATGTCACTTTCTGTGTGGGCCTGGGCTGCAGTCGGGCTGTGTATCCCCAGAGCCCCGTGGTGCAGTGTCCCCAGGGCTGTCAGCCCTTTGCAGACACCTGGGCCAGCTGCAGCTCCAGCCCCTGGCTGCCAGGGGTGCACTTCCAGCTCTTAGCAGAGCCCCTTGCACGAGGGCAGAGGAACCTGGTGCAGGTACAGCCTGGCAGCAGAGCTGCGTGCCCCGAGCACCAACCCGTTTCCCTCCCCCGGCCAGATGCTGACGTTCATCATGCTGGCGCGGCTCTCGGTGCTCTGCCCCAACGCTGTGCTGCAGCGGCTCGAGCGGCTGATCGAGCCCCTCCGGGCAACCTGCTCCACAAAGGTAAGAGCAGGATCCTGCAGGGCTGGGGTGGCTCCTGCCCGAAGCTGCCTCTGCTCCTGGCCTTCTCCCTCAGTGCTGCTGGGCCACCCACTTCCCCAGCTGGAAAATCCTCTGCTGGCCTTCGCTGCTCTGTTGGTTCTGTGCCCGTATGGGCTGTTCTAAATGCCAACTGAAAACGGGGCTTTGGATTTGCAGGTGAAAGCTGGTTCGGTGAAGCAGGAGTTTGAGAAGCAGGATGAGCTGAAGCGCTCAGCCATGCGGGCAGTGGCTGCTCTCCTGACCATCCCTGAGGTGGAGAAAAGCCCAGCAATGGCTGAGTTTTCATCCCAGATCAGATCCAGTCCTGAAATGGCATCGCTTTTTGAGAGCATTCAGAAAGATTCCGCTTCCCTCCCCACCTCGGAGTCAATGGACATGAGCTAAGGTGTTTTTCCCCACCACCCTCCTGCCTTGGGACGCCTCAGCCAGAACCAGCTGGGTGGGGAAGAACAAATGCCACTGGGCTGCTCTTCTGCCTCAGCCAGTCCAAATCCCTGGGCGGCCACAGGAGAAACTGGGGATGGTGTGTTAAATGTGACAGCCGGACGTGACTGGCTTGATCCAGCTGCCTCTCTGTTGAGACTCAGAGAATTGGAGGAGACCTGAGATCAGGGAGTACGGCCTCATGTAGGGGAGGGGCTGGAAGATTAATATTCCCATTTTTTCAGAAGTTTTAAGGGGTGCACAAAGCAATCACAGTTGTGGTTCCACGAACAATGGAAATTACTTCCTCAAATCCTCCTTACTGCAGTACAAAAGTTTTTTAATCACTGCACATGCACTTTTTACCTTAAATTGCCCAAGAATGTATTTATGGTTTTTAACAAAAAAACATGGCTAAAAATTGGAAGCCATGTTTTATTAATGAGTTCATCCCACAGGCCTTTTGGGAAAGGAGACTTGCACCTGCCAAGCTGCTGAGGCTGCACAGGGCAGGGGGGTTACCTGACACCCCCACCCTCCTCCTGGGGCTTCAGTTTGGCATTTGGGCAATATGAAGCTTTGTTGCTTGGCTTTCGTATTTATGGTTTTGATTGCAAAATACCTCAGCTGTCTTCCCTGAGGGATGATTAGTGACTGTTTCAGTGACAAACCCTGCTTAAAGCTTTGCTGTGCACTAACACTGGCCTCTTTCTCCCCTTGGAGCACCGTGGTGTTGGTGTCGCCAGCCACAAGGGTCTGCTGGTCCTGGTCACACGTGAGCAGCAGGCCAGGGGTCAGTGTCAGAGTCATGGGGCTCAGAGGTGGCAGGCAGGAGCCAGGGGTGCAAGCACACAGCCCATAGTGGCTGCTGTGCTCAAATCCTGCTTTGTGCAAGAGAAAATGCCTTAAGAGACAAAGGTTCTAACAGCCAACTAGAGGATGAGGCCATCATGACACATTGCTCTAGCCATGAACTGCTCTGTGTTTTCTTTTCTCTTCTGACAGAGTGGTTGATGTGAATAGTATTTATAGTGCTGTGTGAAAGGAAATCTGTTGTCTGAGTGGTATAGAAAATAAAACTCACTTGTGAAGCTGCGTACCCCGAGTTCACTGACCATCACCATGGCACTGCTCCTTGAGTGCCCCTGACAGCAGAGCCCTGGAGCCAAACACAGGCTGCTGCCCCTCCTCTGCCCATGCAAAACAGCACCCGAGTTGGACTGAGGCTTTATTAAATACACCTGTGCTGCAGAGGCTGCTACTCGTTCTCCTCGCTGCGCAGTCTGGCGTTGGGGTTGGTGATCTTGATGGCGAGCTGCGCGGCTCTCTCCACGATCACCTTCCTGTTCTTGGAGGACACGTTGTGGGCAATCTCTGCACAGTACGACCTGTTGGGGACACACAGCGTTGGCCTTGCTCCAGCAGCACCAGAGCTGAGGCAAAGCCCTCTGGAGCCACACCACCCTGGGAACGTGTTGGAGCTGTCCTGCCAGCAGTACTGACACAGCTGAGCTCAGGGGCATCACTGCACAGGCACTGAACCACGACTCCCACCCCTCACTGTCTGGCCTGAAGCAGGAGCTGCCCTCCAGAACAGTTCAGCCTTCCTGTAAACAACTCAGTCAAGGTAGTCATTAATCATTGTTCTCAGTACTTTGTAGCAAAAACAAGCACTGGAGCACACTCGTGCCCAGGTCTGACTGTGGCTACCAGTGATGTGGCACAGCCTTGCTCGCCACCATTGTGTATTTTTGCCAAGGGGATGAGATTGCCAGCCCCAAGGCCCCTCTGTGCCCCCACCCTCCAGTGGCACTGGGGCAATCGTGATGGCATCTGTGCTCTCAAAGGCAATGATTTTCCTCATTTCCCCCACCATGCCACTCTCCCAGGTGGGAGTACAGACCCCACACACTCACTTGTTGCTCATCATCAGCACTTCCAGCTCTTTCACATTGTGGACCAGGAACTTTCTGAAGCCCGTGGGCAGCATGTGTTTTGTCTTCTTATTGCTGCCATAGCCGATGTTGGGCATCAGGATCTGTCCCTTGAAGCGCCGGCGCACTCTGTTGTCGATGCCTCTGGGCTTGCGCCAGTTGCGCTGCACAAGCACAGAGAGCAGTTACCAAAGGAGACCACCCTGAGCCCGCCTGGCCTGAGCCTGCACCCTGCCCACCCTGCTGGCCTTTCCTTCGCCACTACACCAAAGGCACCCCAAAGGTTCCCGTCCTTGGGAAGCTGCAGCAGCTCCTCACCTTGATCTTGACATAGCGGTCAGACTGGTGCCGGATGAACTTCTTGGTCCTCTTCTTGACGATCTTGGGCTTCACGAGCGGCCTGAGGGCAGGCATGGTGGCTGCGGGACAGAGGGGGGTGAGCGAGGGCCGTGCCCGAGGTGCGGTGCAGCTCCCCGGGCCACGCGTGTCGCAGACTGCCTTCCCCCAGGGGCCACGGCAGGCCGGTGGGGGAATGGGTCTTCATCTGCTGGGGCTGTTCCTCCCGCCTCCGAAGCTGGCAGAGCACTGCGAGCCCTCCAGATGCGATCCTGGGAGGTGCCGCGGCGCCATCCCCGCGATGCTCCCGCCCGGAGCGCGGCGCCGCACGCCGTGGAGATCAACAGCGACCGAGACGCCCGGCTCCGCCCGCCCACGCCCCAGAGGCCCCGGCCCGGCTCGTGCCCGAGCGCGGCCGCGGCGGCCCCGCCGCCCCGGAAGGGGCACAGGACCGGCGCCGGCCCGCGGGGGCCGCTGTCCGCGCCCCGGGGAAAAGATGCGGCGGACGGGAAGGGAAAGGGAGGAAGGCGGTCCGTGCCAGAAGCGCCGAGGCCCGGATGGCCCCGGATGGCGCGGCCGGGACTCACCGGTGCCGATGGCGCGTCCACCGCGGGCCGGGCGAGAGAGGGAGGGGCTCCGCGCGCAAGGGCTTATGGGACACGCGGGCGGTCCTGGCAGGGGCGTGTGGCGCTGCCGCCGCGCACACAGAGCACCGGGCACCGGCGGGGCGGCGCGGAGGTCAGGCCGCCGCCGCGGCGAGGTGGCACCGGGCAGGGAGGGTCAGTGCGGCGGGGGCGCCCGGATCGGTGCTTCCCGCCCACCGCCACGGACAGCGCGCCTGCTACGGGGCTGACAGGACCTGTCTGCGTCACGCCGCAGGCCGTGCGCGCCAGCCACTTCCGCCAGTGCGGGCGGGCGGGAGCGCGCCCCCTGGCGGCGCGGCGGGTCCCGCTCGGGTACCGGACGGGCGGCGCGGCCCGGGCACCGAGAGCGGCCCGCTCCGGGAGCCAGCACCGCGCCGAGCAGAGCCGCTCTGCTCCGCCTCGACTGCTCCCCTCAGCCCGCGTGCAGCAGCACCGAGGTCAGAGCCCCGCTCTGGTGGCACGGGCCGGCTGTGCCCGGCAGCTGTGGGCACAGAGCTGCACTGCAAGGACAGACAGGCACTACAAAACAGGGACGCGTTTATTAAAAAACAGCAATGACTCCAGCCACGACACCACACAGCTATTTACACCCAGAACTGTGAGCGGACCCAAGCGGTGCCGGGCCAGGTCAGCCCAGCTCAGCTCAGTCGATGCTCAGCCTCTCCCGGTTCTCCCACAGCCACGTGTGGTACACGTTCAACTTGTGGTCCTGTGGCTGCACCTGACACACAGGGAAAACATCAAATATTTACTAAAACACCTTAAAATACCCATCGCTCCAACATCACGAGTGTTGGCTTTCCAGTGCCAGGGGTCAGGGGGCACAAGTGAGATGCTGAAGGAGCCGAAGGGCACCACCCACCTCCTTCCATTCGTTAACACAGAAGATCCTGTAGGAGTCGTTGCCGTACTTGCCGATGCCGTGCAGCTCGATGGGGTAGCGCCACGCCTTGCTCAGGTACTCACCTGCGGGGCAGGGCACAGCACTGAGCCCCGGCCCACACAGAGCTGCCCTCGCTGCCTGCCCACACAGAGCTGCCTCACAGACCCACCCTCGCTGCCTGCACACGCAGATCTCCTCACTGCACACACAGATCTCCTCACTGCCTGCACACACAGATCTCCTCACTGCCTGCACACTCAGATCTCCTCACTGCCTGCACACGCAGATCTCCTCCCTGCACACGCAGATCTCCTCACTGCACACGCAGATCTCCTCCCTGCACACGCAGATCTCCTCGCTGCACACGCAGATCTCCTCACTGCACACACAGATCTCCTCACTGCCTGCACACAGATCTCCTCACTGCCTGCACACAGATCTCCTCACTGCCTGCACACGCAGATCTCCTCACTGCACACGCAGATCTCCTCACTGCACACGCAGATCTCCTCACTGCACACGCAGATCTCCTTGCTGCACACACAGATCTCCTCACTGCACACGCAGATCTCCTCACTGCCTGCACACGCAGATCTCCTCACTGCCTGCACACGCAGATCTCCTCGCTGCCTGCACACACAGATCTCCTCACTGCCTGCACACAAGGAGCACCCGGGCAGGACCCTGTGCCACTGTTACATGACTTCACTCCGGCACATTTCAAATGAAAGCCACAAGTTTTAGGTGTTTCCTGATGCATGCAGACCATGAATCCCCACGGGTTAATCTTGAACTCCTTTTCAACAAAACACTGTGGGAGTTTTAATCATAATCTCTCTCGTCTGAACAAAATTCTCCTCAGCAGGTTCTGAGTACAGAACCAGAAAAGTCCCAGCTGGAAGGGCCTGCTGCAGGCCAGCAGAGCGAGCCTGCGCAGAGCCACCCTCCAGCAGTGCTCCAACACAGCAGCAGTGCTGCGGGTGCTTGGGTCTCTTCTACTCCAACAAGTTTCTGGTCTCCGTGGCTGGCGTTTCCTCCCCAGCTCAGACTGGGATCAGCAGCTTTGCCTGTGTGGCACCAGTGGATCCCAAATGCTGCACAAACAGCCACCAACCCACCCAGCAGAGGAGAAGCCACAGAGCAGCGCTTGCATCAAAGCTGTTTGTCTTTTGCCAGCATAACCAAGATTGTTCCAGACATCAGGAAAACCCACCCGAGAACCTGATGATGGTTTTGGCTCTGAGTTCGTAGAGGCCAAGAGGTTTGAGCAGCTCTGACATTTCTTTCCAGTCTGCAGCCCTGGCTACCTCAGGAGAAGGATACTTCTTCAGGAACTCCCAGAGCACTGGAATGGCCATTTTCCCTGGTGAAAGAATCCCGTGAGCAGGAGGCTGGGATGGAGTTCTCCTTCTGCACTATCCATATGCTTTCTCAAGTGAGCTTTTCCAAGGCAAGGTACCAACTAAGGATTATTATTTCACAGTGACACAAGTTAAAATAAATAAATTCCTTCATGCATACCATTAAAACTGGCAGCTTTTTCAGCCCTCTAACACCTCCCAACATTTACACGCCTACTCCTGCTACTCTGCTTACCTGAAGTTTTGTTGAGAAATATGGTGGCAATGAGAAGCTTCCACGGATCATGGAAGAGTGTTTCCTGGATAAGATTGAAAGGAGAACGGGGAGGAGTCCATTTTCTGAGGGCCTTCCTTCTGGGTGGGCTGGGGGCTGTACAGAGCAACACAGGAACATTTATTAGACAGGAAAGGATGGCTTTACCTATTTAATAAAAAAAAATGAAGACCTCTGAAGCATCACTGTGGAGGCACTGTGCACAGATGCAGCCACAGCAGGTCCCACACAGCCTTTACAGGGCTGCAGGGCACTGTCCCACGTGCAAGGACAGTGGGAACTTTCCACATCACCATTGATCCTGAGCCATCCTATCCCCTCCCCATAAAAAAATGTATTTCCCTAAGTACAATACCTTCTTTGCTGTATTTACTGGAAAAATATGGACTTGTTTTCCTTCTCTCCACTTGTGTTCGTGGGACAGACTCTTCTGTAAAAAAATAAACTTCAGCATTAAGAAAAAGCAGCAATTATTTTGCTGTCATGTTTCACAGACCACTTCCACTTTACGCAGTGATGGAAACAGAAGGAACTCATGTACAGAACACAAGTGTACCTAAATCTCCTCAGATTATTGCCTGACACTGTACAGCATAAGAGCTTGGCACAGTAAGTTTCAGTTTTGAGTAAGTCTGCATTAATTTAAATGCTGTGGGATAAAAATGAAGATTTGGATGCCAGAGCAGCCTGACCTGAAGCAGAACACGTGGCCTCAGCAGCCAGGAGAGGGCTGGGCAGAAGGTGAGGGCTGGCACACCCTGTGCTCTGGCAGGCACGCACCTGCTGACATCCTGGCTGCTGCGAAGCTCGTCCTGCCCCACGGCTCAGCCTCCAGCTCGCTGTCAGATCCAGCACTGCGCTCACCCAGGTCCCCCGCAGCTGGCACCTTCCCTGTCTCCAGTGCACAGGATTTCTCCTCAGCCCTCGCAGCAGGTGTGTCACTGGAGCAAGGCCCCTGCTTTGGCAGGGGACCCAGCTCCCTGTGTGAGCCAGCCACTCTCCTGAGCCGTGACAGGGCTGTCCCTGCGCCCCCAGGGGCAGCACCTGCTTCACCCACCCCCTGGCTGTCAGCTCCACGTGTGTCTGTGTGTTTGTTCTCAACACGCTTGGTCCCCCCTGTGTTAGAGATTCTTCTCTGCCTCTTGCTCTTGGGGCCACCTTGGTTCCTCCTTTCTGAGCCCTTCTCACGTTTCCTAGTTTGGACACTTCTCCCATCTGCCCTCTTTCTTTTGGACTTCAAACTCTCCTCTGGGTTTGTGCCTACCACTACTAGATCTGTGCCTTCCACAGCAGATGCAGCATCTTCCAGGCGTTCACTCCCAGCCTGGATGTTCTGAATGCCAGCCTCAGCACCGTTCTGTGCATGGAGCTCCTGCACTTTGCTCTGACAATCCTCCTTTTCCAGGTCAGTCCTCGCAGCTCCTGTGCCATATCCCCTCAGTCCTGAGCGTGTGCTCCCTCGAGGAGCTGCAAAATCAAAATCTGCTGCTTTCAGTGTTGTCTCCCCAGTTTTCTGCAAATACTCCACAAGTGCTCGTTTTGACCTCAGCTTCTTCCCTTCAGGGCTGTGGTAGGAAAGGAAAGTAAATTAGCAATGACTTTCTCATTCTGCTCTTCGCGTAAAAATCTTCAATAATACATAAAAATAAACCTCAAAACGAAGGACAAAAACAGTTTTGAGGGCGACGTCGGGGCAGATTTCTGTGGTCCTGCCAAGAAAGGCCACACAGCTCACCGACAGCCCCAGGCTCACCTTACGAAGTACACGTCGACCCTCCCGGCCGTCCTTCCCGCCCGCCTGCGGCTGCTCACCCGCTGCCACCCGCGGGGGACGGCGCTGGGCCCCGCCGGGCCGTGGTCGCCGCAGCCGGGGCTGGGGCCGGGCCGTTCCGCCGCCGCGCCTCGACTGCTGCCCCCGGGGCTGCAGGGGAAGAAGAGCCCGGGTAAGGTGCTGCTGCCGGCGGAGCTCCGGGGACGGCGGGGCGGGCCCGGGCACGGACCCCCACCCGGCCCCGGGGCCGGGCCGGCGCTGTCCGCCCCGCGCTCCGCTCCCGGCGTGCCGAGCCGTGCCGGGCCGTGCCGAGCCGTGCCGGGTCCGAGGGATGCGGGCCGCGCTCACCTGGCGCGACAGGGCCGAGCAGTGGTGAGCGGCCCCGGCCCGGTCCCATCCCGGCGCGGGGTCGGTCCCGGCCGCTCCCGCTGCTCGGGCTTTGCGGGCGATCGCTCCCGTGCCGCTGCCTCTGCTCTGTTTGTGTCTCCTGACGCGCGGTTCTCGGTTTGTTTCTTCCCTCAGCATTTACGACCTCGCGTTCAAGCCGGATGGGACCCAGCTGATCATTGCTGCTGGAAACAGGCTGCTGGTAGGGAAACCCTCCTGTCCTCTCTCCTTTTCAGCTGTATGAGCGTGTTTTATTTCACATTAACTTATGAATATAACCTATCTGAAATCCCCTTATCTCTGTCACTGCAGCCTCTCAGTAACATACATATTAATGCAGGCCAATTCTAAAGTGTTTTGAAGCTTTTAAAGATTTCTTACCAAGTTTTAAGCTCTATTTCCAGAAGTAATGAGATTTCAGTTATTTGTGTCATCTCATCCTCTTGTGCGGTGCCCGGGGTTTGGGATCCATGAGCCTGCCCCTAGTCCTGCCCAGCGTGCAAGTTTCCCTAAATCTGCGTGACAAGGGCAGAGGCTCAAAGCCGTGTCCTGGCGTTGTGGTGGCAGGACAGGTGAGGGAACATTCACCTCAAGCTGTCTGTGGGTCCCTGGGGCTGCTGCAAGAGCTTAGGACCAGCTGCTCACAGGTCCTGCAAAGCTTTCAGGTGCAGCAGGTGTAGGAGCTGCAGGAAGGGTGGGTGGGATTGATGGATGGATGGATGGGAGGATGGATGGATGGGAGGATGGATGGATGGGAGGATGGATGGATGGGAGGATGGATGGATGGGAGGATGGATGGATGGGAGGATGGATGGATGGGAGGATGGATGGATGGGAGGATGGATGGATGGGAGGATGGATGGATGGGAGGATGGATGGATGGGAGGATGGATGGATGGGAGGATGGATGGATGGATGGATGGATGGGAGGATGGATGGATGGATGGATGGATGGATGGATGGATGGATGGATGGATGGATGGATTGTAGAGGTGGAGTTCAGCATTGCAGGACAACAGGTGTTATTTTCAGGGCTAACAGAATGATGTATTTAGCGATGCTCCTTTGCAGTGATTTATTATGCTTAAACATAAAATGTGTAGAAAGATGTTTTAACAGCAAGATGTAAAATATAAAAATAAAAGATAAAAAGCCAATAAAATGTAAAACAAGCTGCCAAACAAGCTGTTGAAAAATGTCCTTTGTGCATGTTATTCTCTAGTACTGACTTTTTTCTTTCTAAGAATATCATGTTACAGAAGGCTGTTTCTATGCTAGAAAGTGTTTTGTCTTGTATGAACTATATGAAATCCAAAAAGCAGACACAAAGGGAAGTGCATAATCTGCTGGCCTTCAGTAATTTTATATCCCAGCCCTCACACTAGAGGTGTTTTAGGCCAGGTTGGATGGGGCTTGCAGCAGCCTGGTTTAGTGGAAGGCCTCACTGCCCCACAGGGACATGAAGTGAGTGAACTTTTAAAGTCCCTTCCCACCCAAATGTGATTCTCTGATTCAATGAAGGTTTTTTTTTGTGTAAGTTCTTTTGTTTGTATATTTGGATTGTTTTTTTCTCCCCATTTGAACAGGTGTATGATACTTCTGATGGAACCCTAATCCAGCCTTTGAAGGGACATAAAGACACAGTGTACTGCGTGGCTTATGCCAAAGATGGTAAATAGCACCTTGGGGCATGCGAGCCTGGTGTGTGAAGTGCTTCTCTCCCACTGGTGATTGCCCACTGGAAATGGAGAATGGGCATTGTGGGGTGCTGGGGGTTTGTTCTTTATCAGCTGCTGGGGCTGTTGTCCAGAGGAGGCTGTGATCTGCTCTGCAGGTCTGCCTGCACAAGAACCTGTACGGTCACCTGTGAGCCCAAGAGCTGTGCTCCCACTGCTCCTCCTCTTTGACTTTAGTGTCAGGCTTAGCACTGGTAGTGTGAGGAGAAGGCTCACCTCAGAGATTCTGTTCCTACTACTCATCTGCCTCTGGGTTTTACTCCTCTAGTTTCTCTGTCCCAGAGCTTCCTGATCTCCTGATCCTTCATGTGTTACCTGCTCAGCGCACTCTGCTGCCAGTTCTCTCGTGGTCTGTGACTCTCAGTCAGTGGGACTCACTCTGTGGGCTGGGGGGCCTTCCTGCAGCTGCTGCTGTTTGGTGATGGGAGTTCCTGTGACATTGTACCAGTTTAACTTGTCACTGTCCCCATCAGTGTCCAGCTGGGGCTGGGCAGCACTGGAAGGACTGGTTACTAGCAAGGCCATGGAATGGTGCAGTACAGCCGCTGGAGCTCCATGTGCCTGGGGAAGCACCAGCACACCCAGGCACTCAGTCAGCCCCTTTATTACTTGAGCCTTGTCGAGTTCAAGAACTTCTTGCTCTCTCTTTGATTGAGTATTTGGAGTGAAAGTGATTCTTGTATGTGTGGGATTTAAATTATCTCTAATTCCTAGGCAAGCGTTTCGCATCTGGCTCTGCTGATAAAAGTGTGATAATTTGGACTTCAAAGTTAGAAGGAATTCTGAAGTACACGTAAGTGATGCTGTTCAGTTCTGTGCCTCAGAAGCTGATTTTCATTATGCACTGCTGCAATTAAAGAGCACGAGCTGTTAGATTTGGGAGAGGGTTCACTGAGGTCAGAGAAAAGGGGTGATGGGGAGGGAGGAGGAAAAGAGCAGCTGAAGTATCTGAGTGAGGCAGGACAGCAATTAAAGGCATGAAATGAGGTGGGAAATCCAGAGCAATCTGTGAATTTAGAGGGCTGACAGAGAACTAGGGGAACTCAGAATAGGTCAGAATAAAATGAAACATAATATGACCAGTCTTCTATAATAAACCATAATTCTGGTTCAAAGATCAAATTAAAGATGGGTTTGGCACTTCTGGTATATTTCAATCATTTGGCTCTGTTTTCAGTCAGCCCTCTGAAGCAGCAACTTCATGTTCTCCTGAGTGCACATTTACCAGGAGTTAGCTGGTCACTGCACAGAGCCTGCACAAGCACACTTGGTTTAGGATTTGGGTACAACCTTCAGTCATACTTCACAAACCACAGTTGCTGTAATCTTGATAAAATACAGTAAATCCTGCTACTTGGAGACACTTCTTACAAGGTTTATTACTGATTTACTTTACAGTAATAGCAGACTTACTTGATGTACTATAAACCAATCCAATTATTTTGGCATCTGCTAAGGCTTTCAGCTCACTTGCTGAAAGTCAGAAAAGAGGCACTTGAGAATGATTAATTGAAATCTGATTGTAACTTCATTCTAGGCATAATGACTCTATCCAGTGCGTTTCATACAATCCTCTCACTCATCAGCTGGCATCCTGCTCGTCTGGGGATTTTGGTATGTCTTCTCCCTTGAACTTTTCCATTGAGGCACTGAATTCCATTACAGCTGGATAGCTGAGCTAACCACAGACAGGTGCAGCTCTATGACTCCAGAAGAGATGGGACACAAAGCTACCTAACGTATGACATTGGGTGCTGATTTAAATCACTTAACCTCAGTGAGAAGGGACAGTAGTGAGAGGTCACAGGATCAAATGTGCTGCTCTGTTACTGGAGTTTTTTGCAGAGACACACTCTGTTATTTAGATGGACTTTTTTCCCATTTAATAATAAATAATATGTATTTAAATGTCCACTGGCAGTGGACAAGATATTAGTGCCTCTAAAATCCCAGCTGAGTTCTTTGACAGTATTAATTTCCAGTCTGAACACTGGCACTTACTTGTCATTGGCTTTTTGTTTTCTTTCATCAAGGCTTGTGGTCTCCTGAACAGAAGTCAGTCTCTAAACATAAAACAAGTAGCAGGATTACTTGCTGTAGGTAAGTTTTAAGGGTTATCTGTGTCATTTGAGTTAGTTTCAATACAAACCATTTAAAGTAAGATGGAAGCTTTAAAAAAAAAATTACTTTTCCCTCCTTCTTTTTCAGTAGCAAAGTGTTGAGTTATGCTTGTTCCTGTTTATAACCAAATCCTTCTGAAGGCATCAGAGACAGATTCTGGTCTTGAGCAGGTGTCTTAAGTGTTTTTTCTGTCTTGTGCAACAACAATGAAATGAAGTTACAGGAAAAATAATTGCAATGTTTGTTTGTCGTTCATTCCCTGTATTGTTGGTGTTTTCATTTGAAGAAGGTATTACCTGTGTGGGGAACCTGAAGTAAGGATTCATACTGAAGTCATTCATCTGACAGGAGGAGACCAGAACAGACCCTAGGCCTCCCCAGTCCTACACCAGACAGTTCTGTCTGATCATGTTCTAAATGTGGCTTTTAAAGCATTTTGGTCTGCTCCAGACTGCCATCCCCAAAATGTATCTGACTTAGCACATGTTACAAATATTGCAAGCTTTAATTTATTCTTTTACTTCTGTGTATAGGATAAAATGTCCTTGATGCAGAGTCCTTGATGTGCTGTTGCTATAAATGTGGATTTAGATGCATAAACAAACCATAGGATCACTAGCCACCTCCCAGAACTTCCTCTTAGAAATATACTTTAATCTGCCATTCCTGTGTGAGTGTGCTGTACACCATCCTGCCTTCCTGCTGCTTGTTTGTAGTAGTTTACTCTTCAGTATGTATGTGTTTTCTCAGCTGGACAAATGATGGCCAGTACCTTGCTTTGGGGATGTTCAATGGCATTGTCAGCATAAGGAACAAAAATGGTGATGAGAAAGTGAAAATAGAGAGGCCAGGGGGCTCTTCCTCTCCAGTATGGTCAATTTGTTGGAATCCTTCCAGGTAAATAATTTCATCCTTCCTTTTTTTTTCATTCTGAATAGATAATCCTTGGCTCATTGATTGCAGAAAGGCTTGACTTTTATCCCTGCTGGAGCAGGTTAATTCCATGTGTGTTACCTTCTTTAAGTGATTATATATTGGGGTTTTGGGTTTGCTGCCAGTCTTCAACTGAATAGAGAGCCTGG